TCTTTGTCAATATGACTGACGACCACACTTATGCAGTGCTGAGGTAATGTTAATTCATAATTGAATACCTCCTGCAGTTGATGCAAACAGGTAANTTTCAGACGAGAAATAACCACATGAAGACCCTATGGTGAAGACACGTTACGCTCGTGTTGTGTTCAAGGAACCTGTCCTTGGCCAGGAAAAACAGGCACTCGCTTGTTTAATTATTTTGCGATCTAGATTTCTTCTTCTTTTTTGAAGTGAGAAGTTGTCCGTCAGTCGGACGGACTAACTGACAGATGAACGGACGGATTGACGTACCCCCCCCGAAAAACGAAAACTCTTCGGTTCTCCACGAATTACACAAGTCACCCAAAGCAGCGTTAAAAAAGCGGGAGGCGCCGAAAAGCGACTAATTTGCATCACTGACAGTGGTCTAGCTGGTTACCATTAGCTGGTCGGGATGGCTGCTAAAAGCTGGTGGTCACAGTGGTCTAGCTGGTCAAGATAGCTGGTTTGGTCACAGTGGTCTAGCTGGTTACCATTAGCAGGTCGGGATGGCTGGTAAAAGCTGGTGGTCACAGTGGTCTAGCTGGTCAGGATAACTGGTTTGGTCACAGTGGTCTAGCTGGTCACCATTAGCTGGTCGGGATGGCTGGTAAAAGCTGGTGGTCACAGTGTTCTAGCTGGTCACCATTTGCTGGTCAGACTGGTATGATCTTGAGTAGAACTTTAACTGGGATTACTTGATGGTTAAGCTGGTCATATATGATGATGAAACACTCTCACCCAGTGAGTACCCAGTAGCTCAATGAACATCTATCATTTCAGATCAGAGCACCTACCTTACCAGAAAGGTACCAGAATGTATAGAATGTATTGTCTGTAAATAAATACTCATACATCAAATGATTAGAAGCAGGTAAATAATTTATAACACACAATGAACATTAACACACATTTGAAAACACCCATTACTTAATCATTTTAAGCAATTTCCTTCAACTGTTTCTTTCCACTTTTCACAAGGTCCTGTATTTTTTGTGAAATGTAGTAACCGGCCAATCTCGGTCTTCTCCACGTTTTGTGAATTCAGCCATCCTCTGAAGCACTCTTGAAAAGAGAAAGGAAAAACAGATTAACTTTTAGCTTTGTGTTATGATTACTGAAATATGTGCACTGTGAGATTAGAAAGAAAGATTTATCAAATTTAGTTTTGAACATTCACTGTGATTGGGTCTATTATCCACGCAATACACCGTATTATTTTTTTCTTCTTAATTTTCATTATTTAATAACATATTCTGTTCTTGTAAATATCATATTCTATTATATTACATGTATATAAACTTTTTGCACTACTTTTTATTTTGTATTTTTGTATTTTATTATATATGTTGCATTGTTGGAGGAGCTCAGGTCAGAAGAATTTCATTGACATTTCTACACTGTAGCTGCTGAGCATGATATGAGAATAAAACCTTTGAATCTTGAATCATACATGCCAAGATCTTACAGAGCATGCATTGATGCAATAATATTCATGTATTTATAAAACAAAACACGAGTCCTGTGTGCATTCATTAATATTGAGTTTGACCTGACTCCATACAGAGAACATGGAAAGGTCATCTCTTTTTGACCCACTGTGGATACTCTGTCGGAAAAGACAGCGCGTAGCTAAATTAGCTTGTTAGCTAGCTATACTGGAGAGGTATTTTAATGGCAATAAAACTGAAGAAAATAAAAAATTTTATTTAAGAGTTTTATTTGACACAAATCCTATTCTAACAAATAAAGCCAGTTTTGCTTGTGTTTGTTTTTCAAGTGTTTCAAAATGTTGTGCATGGACATAGACATGATTATAATCCTTTTGGTTTTACTACTCAATGCCGGTGCATCTATAACAGCAGTCGCAGTAACATTATTTTCTTCTCATAGGATTGGTTGATGAAGTATGGCTACCTCCCACCCTCAGACCCCTCCACTGGGCAGCTGCAGGCCTGGACAGCTGTCACTAACGCTGTGAGGGCCATGCAGAGGTTTGCAGGCCTCAAAGACACTGGAGTTGTAGGTGAGGTTAACACGGTGGAAGGCTAAATGCTTTGCTTTAAAGGTCTCATATTATACTATTTTTAGGCATATATTATAGGTCTCAGATATATAAAAATATATAAAAAACATGTCTATGAAGTGTTTTGCTCAAAATACCAAACAGATCACCCATTGTACCCCTCTATTTCAGCCCTGTTACTAAAGTGCTGATTCTGGGTCCGTATAGCTTTGAGACGGTTGGGAGCTCATGCAGGAGAATTCTACCCAGATACTCAGCTAAATGCTGCCGTTATTAAACGCCATATTATGTCCATATTATGTCCATATTATGCTCTAAACCACATTACCAAAGCATTATTTCTGAAACAGTTTGGAGCTCAAATGCTTTTTCTTGCGAGTTTACCACAAAGTGAGTTTTATTTCCTTCTTCTTTACACATACTCTCTCCAGTACAGGTTAGCTCTGAGTGTTAGCGATGCTTGTTAATGTAAACAACAACAGTTTACATTAGCAAGCTTCGCTAATGTGTTTCTGATAGAGACGTTTCTGATAGGGCCGTGGGTGTAAAGCCAGTCCACATTTCAGATATCACGTCATATCTGACGAAAATCTGGATCAGCTCCGTTGTTCCCCTGTTTTTAGAGATTTAAGTACGGAGGAAAAGAGAGAGGGTTTTATTTTCGACACTTTGTGAGTCTCATGACACACCGGGGACACATATTTAGGTATTAAAGACATCGAAAAGTGCATTTTGCATGATAGGAGACCTTTAAGATGCAACACGCTGACGGTCAGCCTCGTCCTTCCTGAATCTGGTCTTCTGTATGTGAATCATACTGTCTCCTCTGGTTCTTCTGTGATTTGGTGTGTCCAGATGAGGAGACAAATGCGTTGATGAGGAGTCCACGCTGCTCCCTGCCTGACCAGGAGGACCAAGACAAACCAGCGGCCAACCAAGAGAGAGGCAACATGAGGAGAAGGAGGAAAAGGGCCCTCTCCATGTGGACACGCAGGAGCATTAACTGGAGGTTGGTTCAAATGAAGTTATCTTAAATCATACTTATGATCTGCAAACTGGAACAAACATGTGTATTTTATAGTTATTCAAAGTCAAGTCTGCGTGTCTTTCCCTCTGTCTCTCTCTTACACACAAACACACTTTGTGCAGGTTGCGTTCATACCCCTCCTCCTCACATCTGTCCCGGGAGACCATTCGCTCCCTGGTGTTCTATGCTCTGAGAGTGTGGGCAGAGCCAACTCCCCTGGAGTTCCATGAGGTGGGTATTTATACCTGCTGCTGAATTCCTGACGGGTGTGAGTTTCCTACAGAGTGAGCCATGTGAGGACATTGATCACCATCATGTCCCTTCTGTTGCCCTCTGTGTTCAGGTGGGCAGCCCACAGGCAGCAAACCTACAGGTAGACTTCCTCCATGGTTACCACGGAGATGGCTATCCCTTTGACGGGGCAGGAGGTGCAGTCGGCCATGCTTTCTTCCCATCAGACGCTGCCCGGGCCGGAGGAGTCCATCTAGATGCAGAGGAGGAGTGGGCCTTTAGACAGCCAGGTTAACAATATATATTTCTGCACAATTACAACATGTTTATTCCTGCTTTTCTGCAGAAAGACAAAGACGACGTGTCACAGCTTTACATTTCTTTGTGTCTCAATGATTTTTCTTTTGTCTTTCAACTCGCAAGCTATTTCTATTGATCGCCATTTTATCTATAAAATCAAAGAATGTGTCTGTTTGTGTCCATGTGGTGGCTTACTACCCGAGCTCTTTGAGAGAGGGACCATTTGATTAACAGAAACCAAATGTAACATTATACGATTAATTGACAAGTTCCGAAAAACTTCTGTGAATATTTATATCAATATTAATTGTGTTAAACGCTTTCATAAATCTGCTTATAAAGATGTGGTCCTTTTTGTAGTGAACCCCATGCACTGTAGCTACCTGCTAAATGATCCATTTTGTACAAAGCATTATTTATGCATTGCTATTAAATGTGATGATGGTCATGGTCCAGTGGGGAATAATCACTTCCAATTATTATTATTATCATTCTTTCACTTGCACAGCATGATTTATGATGTAATTAGCCATTTTCCATGTGTGGGGTACAATTATGCTAGCCAATAGAAACAAAGCTGCCTCAAACTTTACATTTGGTCTCTGTTTAGCAAGAAGATCCAAAGAAATGCAACACTGTCAACGTGTGGTTGATTCTGTCCAACTGCTCCATCTTGTGGTGTGTAATGAGCATTGCAACCTTGAGTATCTGATTTCTGGGGTTTAGGCCATAATAGTCATTACACCTGACACAATCGCTCCAAATCAAAAGTGAAAGACATTAGGACCATAATCCCCCCACAGCTTCTCATTAGCTCATGGTTTTCCTCTCTTCCTCTCTCTCCCTCCCCCCCAGCCTCTGAGGGTACCGACCTGTTCACAGTGCTGGTCCATGAGTTTGGCCATGCTCTGGGCCTTGCTCACTCCTCGTCTCGCAACTCAGTGATGAGGCCGTACTACCAGGGGCCTGCCGGAGACCCTCTCCACTACCGCCTGGGAGCTCAAGATCTGGAGCACATCACTCAGCTCTATGGTAAGGCAAAGTAGACCTTTCTCACACCAGATTGTCTACAATGAGAATAAAGGGTGCAAATGCATGGTTGGCACATGAGGATGCATATAATATATCAAGAACCACATATAGTCTAGCATCACAACACCACCATAGAAAGAAGACATAATGAATTCATTATTAGGACTTAACATATTCAGATAGTCAAAATGGCCACATAGCGCGCATGGCTAAATGAGGACAACGTGGAACCAGTTGTTTGTTATCGAGGAAGTACAGACGGTTTGATCCTCCACAATATGCTGAAAAGTGAAAGCCATGTATTGTTAAGACTTAAGTTTCCAAAGAAAGACATTCACTGTGAGAAAATGTGTGACTGCGATGTTTTTCTAAAGTCATTATGCTTCTCCGGTCCAATCAGCAGCTGTTGAGCATAACGTTGTGAGCATTTTTATGCTACATCATTATTATATATATAGTATCTGATTAGATTTGATCTTCTGATTTAGGGAAAAGGAACCAGCTGCTGGCCACTGATGCTCCACGCCTCGCCCCAGACCCTCAGCTTCGCCACAGAGGTCACCACCATCATCACAAATATGGGTAGATATTAAAAACATCAACCATAGCATATTACTAGACCAGCTGAAAAACTGGTTAGTTCTTCTTTACTGATTTGAGGACTACTCTGTTTCTATATTACAAATCTTAGCTGTCAAATATGACATGTGAAGTTCTTCAAGGCTCCACCCTGGGTCCCCTTCTCTCCACAGGCCCAGAAAATGGATAACAACAAAATAAGTTACCATAACTATGCAGGTGACAAGTAAAATGTCCACGACTATATCCCAAGGGGACTATGATTCCAATACAAGCACTGAGTGAGTGCATTGAAAAAAGCAATGATTGGACATCATAACTTTCTTTAATTAAATAAAGATAAACTGAGGTATTTTTCAACTAACGTCAAACGATGAAAAGTCTGAACTCAGCTCGGTCGTCAATGTTTAATCCACAGAAGAACTCTGAGGTCTTTGCCCTGGCTTCCTGTCTGTCAAAGAAGTGACTTTGTAATACTGCTGCTTCATAATGCATTGAATGGTGTATTGCTAATTCTCTTCCCAGTCACAGTAGATGCACTTTGAATAAGAAAAAATGAGCACAACATAAGGTTCTAATAATTGTGAAGTACTGACTGAAGGTGTCCCCCTCAGCCCCTTCATAGACCGCTGTAACACCAGCTTTGATGCAGTGGCAAGGATCCGAGGAGAGACTTTCTTCTTCAAAGGTTTGAGTGCATAAATGGAAAAAAGACATTCATTTTGTGAAGTCTGTCTGGCACTGACACCTTGCATCACTGGTCCTTATTCTCCCTCCAGGTCTGACTATGTGGCGAGTCAATGGTGGGGGCTTGGTATCGAGTCAAGGGGCCTCAGTCAGGAGGCTGTGGAGGGCTCTACCTCCTGACCTGCCTCAGCTGCATGCTGTGCTGGAGAGACCCTCAGATCATGCCATCATCTTTATCAGTGGTATAATAATGTTAATACATGATATTAATTATACTTTATTCAACTTATACAGGATTATTCTTCTTACTTATGAAAAGCATGAATGAACAAATGGATCAGTTACAAAGTTGATTAATAAAAGATAAAAATCTCCAACTGTGTCTTGTTGCAGGTTCTCAGTTCTGGCTGTTCAGAGATCTGTCGCTCCAGGAGGGCTTCCCTCAGCCCCTCTCCTCCCTCAGGATGGGGCTGAGCTTGGATGGAGCAGACAGAGTGGAGGAAGCAGCAGCAGAGAGGTGGGGTCTTGTCTGGGAGCCAGAGGAGGGTCCTGTGTGGGGGAACATGGCAAACGCTGAGGAAGAGAAGCAAGAAGACGACTGGACTCAGCTCCTCAGAGAGGGAGTGAGTGGCATCACCACAGACAGCGAGGGTGAGGGCGCCGATCATCTCTGAGGTTGTGTGTGTACAGATGTGCCTGCCCTTTTCCACCTGCCAGTAACAGTGACATAATGGTCAGGTTCAAGTAATGTGGTCACAGGTAATAACACACCTAATAACCTGAACTGCCCAGGAGCCTTACATCAATCACACATATATCTTTATATGTACATGTGTAGGGTTCGTGGCTATGACATCACTTCTGGGGGGCGAAGCACACCGTATTCTCAGCATTCTGAGGTGGATCATATTAAAAAGGCCTTATGGGTATTTAGATTGTTGAGCTTCTATTGGCTAGCGCTCCAGCAAACATTGTATGCTAAAGGCTAAGGGGCGGGACATCTCTAAGCGGTTGACCAATCACAACAGAGCCTAACTAATCAGAACAGACTGGGCTCTGGTTTCAGACAGAGGGTGAAAAGAGGTGCTGCAGCACAGGCATTATGAGAACAATAAAGAGCTTTTTGAACATTAAAGCACATTTTCCAACGACACAGTCCGATTGTTCAAGTGGGCAAGCCATTCCTGTCATTCTGATGAGGGACTTAGTTATTTCTTTCCCTCATAAATTCAAATATTTACTACTGTGTTCAAACTAACTACCTACTAATTTATACATACATCAATCTGCAGTTTACAGGCATGAAATACAAATCCTTATATTAGTGAACTATTATTGTCTTAACCCTTTCTTCGCTTTACATTAAATTACATTACATTACAATGCATTTAGATGACGCTTTTATCCAAAGCGACTTACAATAAGTGCGTTCGACCAACAAAATACAAACTTGAAGAAAACAGAATCATATAAGTACATCAGGTTTCACAGAGCCAAAACATTTCAAGTGCTACTCAACTGGCTTTAGATAAGCCAGTCCTTTATTAGTATATAAGTGCTTTGTTAGTAATTCTATCGCTCGAAGTGGAGTCGAAAGAGATGAGTTTTCAGTCTGCGCCGGAAGATGTGCAAGCTATCTGCTGTCCTGATTTTGGAGCCAGGATAGCAAACCCACGTGTTTTTGCTGATGGGAACTTGGGTCCCCCTCGCAGTGAGGGTGCAGCGAGCTGTTTGGCTGATGCAGAGCGAAGTGCACATGCTGGGGTGTACGGTTTAACCATGTCCTGGATACATCCAGGACATGGTTAAACCGTACACCCCAGCATGTGCACTTCGCTCTGCATCAGCCAAACAGCTCGCTGCACCCTCACTGCGAGGGGGACCCAAGTTCCCNTTTAACCTTTGCAGACTATTTACATGCACACAAACCTTTATAACACACTACAGTAATAAAACATAATAGGGCCCCTTTAATATGAATTCAACTTTTCATTTGTAATTGCAAAATTGTGTTGTTTCATACAAAAAATGTTATGACAAATAACTTGTAAAATGATAATAGATAAGTGATGATAGTTTGTCTCCAATATTCAGCTTTTTAAAGTGTCTGAGCTCTGAAAAAGGCATTTATTATTCCTATTTCTTAATGAATCAAAGTTGTTATGACTCATTTCAGGGGACTGCTGGAGCACAGATGGTCACAGTGATGGTGGGAAACATGAGTCAGGACGCCAGCAGCTCCTTCACCTACGACGACAACCTCACATCCCGGATCTCAGGCCTGAGCCCCAGACACACCACTGTGATCGGTGAGTGGAGAGTCTTTTCCTGGGGGGATTCATAAAGTGTGTGCATGTATTTGATCAGGTCTCAGATAGGTAGAACCATCATGACGTGAAAGGAGAGGTTTATAAGGGATTATTAGTGTTGTGCTGGAAGGTCAATAGAAATGATATCTGTCTGCTGAATGCAACAGATACATACATAGTGTGCTTTTTCTTTGTTTATGGAAAGAAATAGGATATTTATTCAGTTCCTCAATGCCTCCATTGTCGAGAAACATGATATACAGTATGATACCGTTAGTACTTATCTCTCTAAAGGGAAGAGGAATAGCTTGTCACCACCGTCAATGGGAGCTTTTGTCATACCTCATTGGTGCTGTTCTTGTTTTTGTGTAATGTTGACTTGCAGGTTTCTCAGTTTTGACCCATTGCTATAACTAAACAGGGGGAGACTGTGAGAGACTAATGTGTATTATTCCGTGTGATTATAGTTAATGATACAGAAGCATCCACACAACAACACTACCTTTTCATCTGCAGGGAAATTAGTGGCACCTCTTGAGAATAAAAGGGAACTACCATCTGCCAATCATCCTGACACTTGAGTGACAGAAGCTCCTCAGTGGAAAATTGTTGATTTTTTTTTACATTTCTTTTGTGTAGGTCGTGAAGTTCTCACCATCCAGGGCTCCAACCTGGGCGGCCAAAACAACGACAGCGTGGTGCTGGTAGGCAGGAAGGAGTGTGTGACGGTGCAGTGGACGGCCTCCAGTATCACCTGCCGTCTCCCCGTGATGCCCCCCGGCCTGTACCAGGTGGAGGTACAGGTTGGAAATAATGGCTTCTCCAAGACAAGGTACAGCTACCATTAACAGCAGCTCATCTGTTACATACCATCGGAGAGAGAGCTGATCTTATCTACGGATATGAGCGCTTTGTTGCACGTCAAACACACATTGTTTAAGGGGTAGATTTAACTAATGTAAAGATAAGGATTTCCTTAAACCTGTATACATAATACTGTACAAAATGTTCCGTAAAAAAATGTACTCACAAAACATTTCCAACTGTATGTATGTTTAAGAAAATGACACAGAAGTAAATGTAAATGTTGCCTTTTCTTAGGCAGAGTATGCTTTATTTTTCAATTAATGGGAGGGGGTTTAGGCTGTTTACATAGTTAATGCCAAATGATACAACTTTTGCAGTTAAATCCTACCTATCTTACTTATTCTTTCATATTACATCTAATTATACATTTCAAAAATAGATCCACAAAAGTAAGTTATTAAAACAAACAATTTCTGACTCCAGAAGAACCCTTCATCAATTGCCATAGTATATCAATATAAATAAACTAATGCGCTCTGAAAGAGAAGGAACAATTCCTTCTCTTTACTTATGGGACTTGTAATTTGGGAGAAACATGGGACTTGTAATTTAAAAATACATCATATATTTTAAATATGGGACTTCTAATTTAAAAATACATCATATATTTTTGTTTATACTCTTTTATATGAATAGTATTTTTTATTCATTCATTTCTTTTTTTATAAATAGTTGTTTTAAGGATGGTGCTGTAATGTCCTAGTAATCACCTTTTCAATACAAATAAAACATCAGAAAAAATAACATTATCAATTTAGCTCACAAGCCAGAAAACATTGTTTATTTTGGGATATATTTGGACTTTTCTTTTTTTTCTTTTGTTTGATAGCAACGGTGTGAACGCCACCATTGAATACATCCTGGAAGTCCACAGCGTCTCCCCCCTGCTCGGCTCCCTGCAGGGGGGCACCAGGCTGACTGTCTCTGGATCTGGTTTCAGCAACAACACCTCTGACAACAAAGTCTCCTTCGGTAAGCAACAACAGACCCAGCTCTTTCACAAAGACTTATCACCGCAGCAATAGTCTCTACCAACAAATAGTCGATTGTGTTTTGTGGAAAACGACAGGGCTGTCTGGTGGTAATCTACAGAGATGTGCCAATATAGGGAAGCAGTATTAAAATGCTTCCGTTTGTTGTTCTCACGCGTGTTTTGTGTTGATTTGACAGGTGGAGCAGAGTGTGAGATGGAGGCCGCCTCAGAGAATGAGCTGCAGTGCGTCATGAAGTCGGAAGAGAAGACTCACATGGTGGACAACCAGGGATCCAGTGGAAGTATGTCCACATTTTAATCCTTTTTCAAGGTGTCAAATTAAATCTGAGTACAACACAAAGAGGATTTACTTACTGTACCGGTAATCTTCCTCGAGAAGGTAACTGTCACCTGTGGATTAAATGTGACGTCACCCAAACACTGTTCTAAGTGTTTAAAAAACACTTTGACTTCCTTTTTTGACATAGTTAGCCATTTTTAGAACAGGTATTTTAGCTGTAGACAATGAACACATTTCTGTTAGCCTATTGTATCTGTCAGTTTAACTGTGTGTTTGTCTCAGCTTTGGGACAGGGCTATGCCTGGAGCCCTGCCTCAGTGGATGCCTATGTTGGAGACTCAGTGATGTGGCGTTGGGAGGCGCCCACCCTACAGAAGGTGGAGTACCGGGTCTTTAGTGTTCCCCGCCCAGGAGACACCACCCCTGGAGACGGACCGTTCAACAGCGGATCCCAATCTGCCAAAGGTAGAGTACTGAGTCACTGGATCGAGGTTGTTCATGTTCAGTATAAAAACGAACCTCCTCACCCACATCTTAATCTTCTGCAGCACTTGAGTCCGATCAGGTTACACAGGCCCTCGCACATTCAAGGCTTTCCATGCTTTCCATATTTTGCTTTTCCACATTTATCTTCTTTAACACTAACATGCAGTATGTTTTTATTAAATACATTGATCTTATATTTCCCTCGAAGCAAAGGCAGACACACGTGGATTTCTCTTAATGGGTTTACTTGTCTCCAAATCCACTGTAAAAACAAAACATAAAACACAGCGACAAACATATGACAATGTATGATAAGGTAAGATAGGACTTTATTTATCCCGAAGACATGTTTTGTGCCAGAGTTACAAAGATATAATAAACACAGCAGCATAATCAAAAAGCAGTACACTAACACTGCAGTAAAAAGAGCTAAGAGACACATAGCAAAGTCATTACTGTACAGTAAAGACTGACAAACAACATACCTCGTTGGCTGCATTATGGTCCATGTCAGTGGAATAAGAAAATGTTGTCTATGATTCAGCTCTTGTTCATTTCCCATCAGTTCTGCTGCAGCTGCACTTCAAATCTATCAACATAATCTCACCTAAAGAAAAATATATTTCCAACAACAAGGTGGTTTTCTCCATGAACTGTCTGCAATGTTTCTGGATATGTGACATGAAAAATGTAATGTCTGATATGTGATGAGTCACACCTTTTACTATGCGTGATAGA